TCCTTTTCTTTTATTAGAAAGAAATTCTTTATATTGACAATGGAGCTCGATAGCTTCCTAGTACTGCTTGCAGTCTTTTTTAATATGTCTCTTATTGTTACAAAAGTAGCAGAGCTTGGGAGCTGCACACCATTCTGTAGTAATTTTGTTGTCAAGTAAGATATAAAACCAGTGAATTCTTTTTTCTAAATCTGCATCATCTGTGGTCTCGAAAGTAATAATCTACTGATCAGTTAGATAAGATGTGCCTTCTATTAACTGTGGCTTAATTGAGGCAATTTTACTGAAGTTCTCAAAAGCATTTTTAATTCTTTCTAAAATAAATTCTTATTCTCTAAAGAAACATTTCTAATCTTAATTGGCAAAAAGGATCTTCTAAAGTCAACTGGAATATGCCATAGTATGTATGATTAAAAATTTCAACCCCTTTTGTAGTATAGTGTTTGAGTTTTTTCTCATTAGTAAAGATTAGTTCCAAATGAGTACAAGATCCTCTATTTACATGTGGCTTAGCAGCAATTATGTCACATCCTGCTGTCTTATAGAGTAAGATCATAATTTGATTTAATAAACTATTAAGATTATTGATATCTAGTATGAGCATATTATCATTTTTAGATCTTATATTGTTTCTTAGTAAGAATAAAGAGAAGGTTGACTATCCTCTTTTGACTTTTGCGAAAAGGCTTGACTATGATTTACTTGAGGTCCCTTTGTTTTTGTTTGTATCTGTTGCATTAGGTTTTGCAAAAAACATGTTGTTTTGTTCTATATGAGATGTTGTTTTGTTTTCCTTATTATTTGATTTTCAAGACATGTTTTGGAACTAGATGTGACTGTGTTGTTATTTTGGTCTATCTTTTCTTCATGAAGTCTCTTTTCATTCTCCAAAGTAACTTGTTCATGCCAGCTAATACTATCCAAGAAGTCATCTTGCATAGTGACAGTTAAATTATTATAGATAGTTTCTGTTGTTATAATATTTTTTCCAAGAAGGAAATTAGTTGCAGTTTTAGTTAGTTGTTTTTTTATCAAAAGGTTGTTGCCAGTTTAGTTTTCTTATTCCTGTAAACTTTAAAGATAAAAGTCTTGCACTTTCTAGGAACAAGGAGAAGAGTCCCTGTTCTGCTACTGTTTTTGAAGTTAGTAAAGTCTTGAGTTAAGTTTATTTTGTCTTTTAAAATTATCCTCTTTCCTAAATGTGATGGTCAGAAGAGAGAGATTGTCCAACCTAGGCAATTTAAATATGAAATATTTAAAAAGAATTGAAAAGAGATTTACAAGCCAAAGAAAACAATTCAAGTAAGCTAATACAAAAAAGTAACTTAGAATATCTTAAAGAAAGAGTGAATAGAAATACTAGCAGAACTAAAGAAAGGTACAGTATTAGGAATATTAAAAATTATATATACATTAATACAAGCAGCAGGATCCAAAGTTCAAGACCTATTTAGAACATTTGTAGCAATTTGCATAAAAACAGAAAAGTGCCAGTAAAATAAAAAGTTTTACAAATATATTCAATACTAAAAAAAACAGATTAGTAGTACAATTTAAGTAATATAAGGTTAATTGCATTACTTAAAACCTTTGACAAGTATATAACAAAAGTTTTGACTAAAAGATTAACAAATATGCTTTGCAAAAAAGGTATCTTAGAAGGTCCAAACTTTGCAGGCATATCAGAAAACTTATTAGAAGAACCAGTTTATATTATAAATATAATAATAGAAGATGCAAAAGATAACAATAAAAAGATTTAGTTGGTTTTTTAAGATATAAAAAAGGCATTTAATTCAGTATCACTTATAATATTGAAACTGGTGATAGAAAAAATTAAACTACTAAAAACAACAATTAAGCTAATTTTAAACTTGTTTACAAATAGAGAATTAAAGTTTATTATATATTGGAAACACACAGAGGCATTCTAAATTCAGAATAAAATAGAACAAGATAAGGTTCTGTTATCTTTGATATGGTAAATATTTTATGATCTGCTACTAGAGCAAATACAAAAAGATACTAGTTTAGAATATACAGTATTAGTAAAGTTACTATATAACCAAAATCTTAATTATACATCAGAGATAAAATGAAAACAAAACAAAGTAGCATTTGCAGCTAATACAACCTAGATAACAGAAAGCAAAGAGCAAATAGAATAAACAATTGAAATTGCAAAAGAGTTTTTTAAATTCAATGATATACAAATAAATAAATAAAAATCTAAATTACTAATCATAAACTTAAAAGAAACAAAAGAAAATTAAAAATTAACTTAGCAATAAATAGATATATAAAGAAAACAAATATAAAATAACAAGATTCCTAGGAATTTGACTAAACAACAAGCTAAAAGAAACAATAATGAAGGCAAAAACAAAATAATTAGTATAATCAACAGTAAAAGAATTAAGAAAAAAGAAAATGACTATTGTGCAAATTGCATATATAAACAATATATATATAATATTAAAGCTTAATTATATGTTACAAGTAACTAAGTTTTCAAAAAAATAATAAATAATATACAAAGCTCTATTTTGATATTAGCAAAAAATAAGTTAGAAATAGCAGAACAGTTGGAATGAGTATAATATTATACAAAAATCTAGGCAATTGCAACTCATTGTAGAATCAATTATTGATAAAACAAATTGCAAGTCTACACAATCATTTAAACTCATTAAACCTAAAGAAAATACTAATCAGAATCTGAATAAGCCAAGGGTTAGTGATAATGTAAACATCAGAAAATAATTGGCATAATAATCTACCAAACATATGCAATAAGCTTTGAAAAAATAATTTAGCATGTCAAGTAATATTAAAAGCAAAAGATATGCAAATAACTTTTAAATTTAATAATCTGAATACAGTCTTCTTTCTTTATAATCACACTTTTGGATGGATCAAAATCTGTGATTATATAGAGGTGTGATTATATATTAAAATCGCCTTGATCATGTGATAGAACATTGATATATATGTAATATAAATACTATACAAATTTGTTTAACTCTGATAGTTGATATTAGGTTATAAAACATAGAATATGAATATTTAGGATTTATTAGATATTTTATTTTAGAAGAATTTAGAGAATATACACTATTCTCAACCAAGGGCAAGAGTGGACCTTATATAAATTTTAATTTTACAGAGTATTTACATTATAATAAAAGCATCTGTGCTATATTTTTGGCTTCGATACTAAGATCCTAATAAATTGTATATATGTATAATAATTTAGTATATACGTTGTAATGGGTAATATGACCTAGCCACAGTTATGAAACATGATTCAAGCCATATAACTCGGGACCCGAATACAGATTGATTAACAAAGTAAAGGCATTTAGTAAGGTGTCACTAGTATTCACATGGTGAGAACTTAAGTCATTGTCATGTAAATTAGTATGAATTGCTTTTAGTTAGCTATAGATAATCTACTGATACTCTAAATAGCTATACAGTATTATACTTATAATGATCTTAATCATAGCAAAGCCCAATGCTTATAATGTATAAGGCTTCTTGATTTCATATAACTAATGGAGCAAGTATATAATAAGTCATGATAAAGACACCTAATCCAAGGATCTTAGTGGAAGTAAAATCCTTGGTTCTCAGTTCAAATCTTCTACACCTTCTTTTGAATAGTTTAGTCTTTGTTGTGATTTAAGTTATGAGAACTGACAACCCCAAAACTTTACTTTTACAATGTACATGATTACATAAATTAGGCCACCAAGAATACATAACAATGTCTAATATTACTAATAATACAATCAACATAACTATAGCAGTACAAGTATAAAAGATAAGTAACAACTTTATGAACAGAACAAATATGAAAGAAAAGATGTGACAAAATTATCCGTTATAATAGAGATTGCATCGATAAGATAATCCTAGCATATATTTGATATATCATGAGGTCTCACACAAGATGTGAAATAATGACTTCATACTATTGGACTACCAATTATTAAATTTCTATTTATCTTGTGTGAAATATAGCTTATGTGATTTAATTATTTCATACAAAGACACATCTCTAGTTCAAAACAAAAAAACCATAGCCTTTTAAATTATTTACAATTCTTTTACTTTCTTTAAACTATGCTAAAATTTTTAGTAAGCTATACCATATTCAACAATCATTTCTCCTACAGGCCATTTAACCAAAATTCTATTGTGACAATTTACTAATAATTTAATGTAAATACTTTTTTTTTAAATATTAATGGTGAGATTTAATGTAAATACTAAATCTAACACTATATAATATTGCCTAAATAGCTTATAGAAAAAATAATATTCAAAAAAAGAGCACTACTCATTTTAGTAAGCTATGTATAGTGTAATAAAATTTAGAGTTAAGAGTTCTAAACTAAAATAACGATATAGGCTAAATTTTAGTTAGAGTAAGGTTTTTGGAGCATTGAACCAGTGTTGAAAATTTAGTACAAAAAATTTGTGCATAAAAAAAGATTTTTTTGTGTATGCACAGATCTCTGTGCTACCTATTAATCCCTAAACTTTTATAAAATAAATTGGTTATTAATTTTAATAAATATTATGTGTATAAATTTGATTGTAAAATTTAAGTTAATTATTTTGCACAACATATTGTTAATTTTGTGAAAATAGCAATATATGCACAATGAATTTCAATACTGCACTGAACATTTTTACTTAGTTGCCTAGACAATTTTTAAGATATATAGCAACTGTGGTGTTTAACACTACTGGTATGATTTAGCAAAACTGTTAAACCATATATAAAATAGTAAAAATAATATAAATATATTTATTTTATTTTATTTACTGTATAATATATAAAATATTTAAAATTTCTAAAAATAATCGGTAATAGAACTTTGTTTTTGTGAATTTAACAATATTCTATTTACCATTTTATCGTATTTTTTAAATATTTTTATATCATTCATATTAAAATTTGAAGATTGTTGTTGTTCGAAGAAAGTCATTCATGTTTTTAATGCATTATGTGCTTCTTGAATAGGCACTTTGAATGGTTCTTCATCTGAATTATCTGAACTATTTTCAGTATCATCACGTTCTTTATTTTGAATAAGAGTAACTATTTGTTAGTCTGTCAATGCTTCTTCAGTTGAAATAGTTTGATCAATATCATTAAAATAATCAACTATTGCAGAACTAAGAGTGGCAGCATGGTTATCTTCTATAGGTAATTTATTTAAAAGCTCATCAAGCTCATTATTATCAAGTAAACTTGCTTTATTTTGAACATCTGTAGCATAAATAACTTCATTATTATCAATACCAGGAGGATCTCAGTTTTTTTCTAGCAGTTAATGATTACATTTTCATCAACAGCATTCCATGAATCCACAAGATAATCAATAGCTTGTTTGATAGTTAGCTTGTTTCTTTTTTTTTTTTAAAAAAAAAAAAAAATTAGTAATGCTCTGAATAGTTTATAGATTTGGCCAAGCTGTTGATTAAAAATCTACAAATACAAGTGTTATGACTGAATTTGGGATCTGCCTGAAGTTGGAACTTCAATTAACTAAAGTTGTGCCTGACTGAAATTAGCCTCTGAAATAAGAACATTCTGCATGCATTAGTTAGCTGTTTTAGACAGGTGCAAACTTTAGTCAACTGAAGTTCCAACTTCAGGCAGATCTTAACTTCAGTCATGACAATATCAGATAATTTTCAGGAATAATCTTTAAATTACAAGCTACGATAAATAATCTTATAGAAAATTAGTATAAAAATACTATTTTAAAAACCTAAGGAAAGAATGTCATAGTTACTTGAATAAATCTTTAAATATTTTGTGGTACTTGTTAGTGAATTTATTTTTAACCAATAGCATTAATTAATCTATAGCTTGATCTAACTATTCGGAGCACTGCATATATATTAGTTAAAAGCATATTTAAAAAAAGGTACTTATTTATTAATATTTTTGCCAGCCTCATATAGCATTAAGAGATGATGGCAATAAAGAGCCTTGTAGTAGCTTTTAAAACTCTTAATAATACCTGCATCTATTGGTTGCAAGTGAGCCATTGTATTTGGAGGTAAAAATGTGACCTTAATATTAGTTAGACCTGAATATGTTATATTTTGACGATTACGTTTTTTACGTATTTTTTGTTTTTTATTTGATATATGTTTTTTGAAAGGTGTCTTAGAGGATACCTTAGAAGATGCCTTAGAGGATGAACTTACAATTATATTTGATTCAAGTTCTTCTTCAGAATCAGAATTTGCATGATCTTGGTCAGTATGTTTTTTTTCATTTGGATCAAAGTGTGAAGCAGCATTATCAATTAGTAGAATAATTTTTTTGCCATTAATTCAAAAATAGTAATCTAATTGCTGGAGCCACTCATTAAATATATCACTATGCATCTATGCTTTCTCATTTGCGTAATACACAACAGGAAGAGAATTTAAGTTAACATGTTTAAAGCATCATGGTTGTAGAGATTTACCAATTACCTATAGTTGAAGATGGTGTGTTCCTTTAGCATTAGTGCCAAGTAAAACTGTAATTCTTGCTTGATTCTAAAAATACAGTAAAATTATAATTGATTAATCTAAAATTTTTATTACAATTAAACCTTTCTAAATGCATTCTATAAGAGCTAACTAATAATGTGTACTTAGAAAATAATAAGAAAAAATATATTTATAAAAGTTATATATAATATAATAAAGTAAATACTATCTTTTAAACTATTTTTCAGACAAATTTGCCTGGAAATTTTATAATTGATCTGTAATTAAGTTATTAAACTATATTGAATTATAGTTTATATCATAGAATATTTGAGTTAAATTGACAGTTTAAGGAATGCTATACTTGTGATTTTAGAGATTTTATTAGTTAACAATAAAAAATCTCTGAAATCACATATCAGATATTATATACTAAGAAGGTATACGTATTATTTTACTAAATATATATGTTGTATCCAGATTTGAAATCTGCCTGATTCAGAATCTGGCTGCCCCGATTTAGAATTAGGATGGCCCAATTCTGAATCAGGCAGATTCCAATCTAGAGTATGATATATATATATTATATATCTTTTTTTGACCATGAATTGGAGCTGATGACAAAGTTTGGTTTGGTTGCATATGATAATATAAAGCAGTTTCATCTGCATTATAAATTTGGTCAAGTGTATATTGGCTAAGAAGATTATTAAATTTTTGTCTTTCTTCAAATAAAGTATCTAAGAGAGCACTTTCAGCCTCTTCATATAAACGATAAACATGAAGATTATTATGAAGTTTGAATTTTTCAATCCAACTATTTGACAATTTTAAATTAGACTCTTCTATATTAAAAGCTTCTATAAAAAATTTTGCTTTCTCTTTGATTAACATTTCACTAATTGGAATTTTAGCTATAATTGTACTTTTGATCCATAAGCTCATAGCTTTCTTGAGTAATGAAAATTTTAGAGAACAGTAGCAGAACTTATTTTTTACTAATTCATTAGGAACTACTGCTAGCCATTTATCTTTCTCATTAATAATCTTAAAAACAGTTGTACAATGGATATTTAATTAAAAATTTTGATTAAAATATTTCATAATTTGAGCATAGTTATAGCGTGAGTTTTTAACTGCAAATTCACAAATTTGCTGTTTGAAATTATCACTAATTGCAGTTCATATTTGTTTAGGTTTAGTTGACATTTAATTTTTTTTTTAAAAAAAAATGATATTTATAGTAATAATATTACTGCTACTAAATCGAAGATTTACAATTAACAAAAAGCTACAAAGTTAGAACAAAAAGAAGACAACTTATTAAAAAGAATATTATCAAGCAGCAAATTATCCAAAGTCAGTTATTTTTATTAATATATGTATATTTATAAACTTTCTATCTTATTCCATCTTTATGCTATGAGAATTAAAGAATTAGGGCTGAAGGCTTTGAATGGGAAGTATTCATCTATTGTTTTCTTTTACTTTATTTATCTAGACTAGCTAGTATTTTTTATATTTTTTTCTTTCATATGAAATTAAAGTTGAACTTTTTATATTTTTCTAATAGCTTTTAGAGTAGCTTTACTTTTTTTTAGTATTATTACTTTTTTTGTGCTTAACATTTACATTCATCTATAAATTTTTATTTTAAGGATTTGTTAAAGCTAGGTATGCATATTCATATGCTGCATAAATTGTATTCTTGACATTTATATTAGCTACTAACTATAATTGCATAAAAAAAGTAATCCTAACCTGTATCTGGCTTTAACATTCCCACATTTTAAGAAGTTTATCAACAAAATGACAAGGAGGCCATTATTGCAAGAGCAGATAACTTTATAAAATTACGTTCTAATTTTATGTTTAATCCTTTTATGAGCTTTGTGTTAGTTTTTATGGTACAGAATTGCATTAGATATAGAAATATTCTGGTCAATATTGTGATTGCATATGATTATATGTATAATCATATCATTAGGATTATTAAGATATGGTAAGATAATTATATCGATATGTTTCAAGCATTTAATTAGTGGTGTAAGGAAAGTGATAGTGTATTTCGCCAATGTGAAGGTATTGGAGTTCCTTTGTTCGATTGAGAAGAATATCATTTTTTTAGCTATTGCTCATCATGTAATGAAGGCTGGCTCTGTTATTCCAAATTCACCTTACTTCACTGACAATTGTTTCACCAATGGCTCATTTAGCTGACATTACATCAATGATATTTTAGTAAAAATATATCTGAAACTAATCAAATGTTTAACTCTAACACTATGTGATGTTGGCTAAATAAACTCCAGTAAAATAACTGAGCAGAACTATTCATTTATCATGAATCATCCCTTTCCTCAATAATAGGTTAATATTTCTAGACCAAATTAATATTAGGTCACGAGTTTCCAATATATCTCTGTGTTGGAGCTTATTAGTTTTATTATAAAGAGAAAGAAATAAAAAAAAACTAGATAATAAAAAAAAATACTTAAATTCTAGTGCTTAAGTTTCTTGATAGATTTGTATTTTCTCTATTGCCTACAGTATTTATCCTGTAGCTTCACTATGTACATAGTTAAAGTTAAGATCTTTAATTTGATTGATAAATCTTTTAATATGTAACTTTAAGAGATTATAAGAAAGTAAATTTATTATGTATATTTATAGTTCAGTTACAATAAAAAGTATGATAGTGATTATATATATATTGTTTTTATAAAGAAGAATTCTATATTTTAAAAAGTTGGGACCATAAATTTATGTGATTTTATAGAGGTTGTGATTATAAGGAAGGTGATTATAAAGAGAGAATACTGTAATAGTTGTAAGCAAAACAAATAGAAAATAGCAAAAGTACTTAAGAAAAAGTTTATAGTACAAGTGGTATTAGTTTTAGAAAAACTAAACATCTTTTATACAAAACAGTTAATTAACAAAATAAGTGACCAAATAATTACTTGGCAACAACTCAAAGTACTAAGAGAAAACTCAAGTAAAGAAAAAATAGCCAAATGGTTTAAAATAATAAAAAAAGAAATAATTGAAGATATTGAAACAAAAAAAGTAAAGCCAATTTTCAGTATACAAGTACCAAATATAAATGCCTTGGAGACCAGTTTAGCAAGATTATCTAAAGATAAAAGAAGAAAAAACTGGATCATACTAAAATGCTCAAAAGAGGAAAAAAAAGAAAATTTATAATTAAAAAACTTTTATAAATGAATATGAAAAAATCTTTACAAAGCATTAGAATATAAAGTACAAGAAAAATGACCCAAGACCAGTGCTTAAAAAATGTAAAGATTGCAAAATAAACAAAGAAAAAGAGTCAAATAAATGCAAAAAATAGAACAACAATCAAAGATGCTAAGAGTATTGACAAACCTGATAAAAAGAAAAGAAGAAAATTAAAAATTAGAAATTAAAAAAAAAATGATTAATATAAAAGAGAATTATAGATATGAGAAATCAATAATAAAAGAAAGTTAAGTTGAAAATATAGTGTGTCTTACATAAAAAAAAGAGCTAATTCAGAAGCAAAATATAAGCAACAAGTTAAAAAAAGAACTGAATAGCAAATTATATAAAAACCAAATAGAAGGCCATATGAATTTGTTCTTCTATATAGATGGTTTACTCAAAAGATCTAGTTTGAAAAAAAGAATTAGTGGCAACAAAATAGGTATAGATTGAATACAAGTAAACAAGAAAGAAAAGATAAAAATTAATAAAAGTTATTTTAAAGTACAAAACTGACCATAATCAACTAAGCCAGAATTGTTAGCAATCTAAAGAGTACTTTTAATCACACCTAGAAATAGTAAAATCAAAGTATATATAGATAGTGCAGCAGCAATAACAGAAATAAATAAAGGACTAAAAATTTAAACCAACAAACAATAGTATAGAAAAAAGAACTATGATTAAAAAGAAGCATAATAGAGATTATAAGTCTTAAAAAATTGCAGCTAAAATTAGTAAAGGACATAGTAATAATAGATAAAATAACTTAGCAGATAGTTTAGTAAAATTAAATAGTAGTTTAGAAAATAGAAATACAATAGTCAAAGGAATATTACAAAGTGAAAATGGTTCAATATATTGGGAAGATAATACAATAGAAGCTCCAACAAGACAATTTTTAAAAAATGTTTTTGATCTTAAAATAGGTACAGAATGAAGATTTTTATTAGTTATAAAAAAGCTAGAACCAAACAATAAGACAGAAGAGCACAATTGACTACTTTTGTGAAAAAAAATTAAAGATCAAAATAGGATAGAATGTACAAATATAAAAAAAAACAAGCAAATCAGAATACTAATTAAATGTTTAAATAAAAGATTACTTTTACTAAAAACATTAGCAGAGTAACATCCAAATCTTTATACAAGCACATATTGTATTTTGTATAATGAAGAAAAAGATAATGACTAAGAGCATTTAGCAATATGTAACAATCATGAAAGAGCCTAGCAAAATATAGAAGAAATCTTAATAAACCTAATATAGTTAATGCTAACAAAAAAATTTAGATAAAAAAAATTTAAAGAAATCATATAAGGAAGAACAAAAAAAAAAAAGAGAGTAGATATAAAATAATTAAGAAATTAATTTATAAAAAAGCTACAAAAGCAATTTAAAAACTAATACAAACATTGACAAAAGCAAAAAAATTTTTGTAAATATTAGTAAATATAACATAAAAGGGCTTTTACAAAAATATATAGAAGAAATAATGTGAAGCAGTCATTGTTTAAAAAAAAGAACTAAAAATAGACCTAAAAAAAAAGAAAAATTATGAAAAGCAACTATTTGCAGCTATAAGTATATCAAAAAAAATAAGAGCAGCAAAATCAAACAAGCAAATCTAGTCAAAAGAGAAGAGAAAATAAAAAAAAGATAAGGATAATAATAGAA